TTCAGGAGTTGGCAACAACCACGGGGTAAGAGTGTTAAAGACAGGGGGAGGATTTTGTGGGTGACCCATGGTCCTGTGTCTTTCATGGTAATCATTTTTTTTATTTAAATGCTCACTGCGTATTTCAGTTGCATCTTACTCAGGGTGAGAAAGAGTGGCACAGTAGGGGACACTCAGGACACAGTAGGGCCTGGATAGGACAGGTGTGGGTTGGGATGGGGGTGCTGAGGGAGGTGTTGCTGAGCTTGCTAAGGGTTTTGTCACCTGTGTTGGGGGGTTGGACCTTACCCTGTGGGGTGACGGAAGTCATTTAAAACTTCTCAGTTGAACTGTGGCTAAGGACTGAAGACAGGTAAGGACGGGCGCTGAGAAGTGTGGTGATAATTTAGAGGTTTTTGTCATGGTCCCAACTAGTGAGAGCTTAGACTATGACACCGTGAAAAATGACAGAGATGAGGAAGAATCCGGAAGGAAGGGGGAAGGAGAGGACCCCGTGCTGATGGGAGCGGACCCTGAGGAGGACTCTGGAGCGGTGCTGATGGCAGGCTAAGCTCGGCCACGCTGCGGTCACCATGAACCCTGAGCTGTCTCGGGCTTTGCACAGAGCTGTCATTCTTACTCCTGAAGTGTGACTCCTGCACTTCTGTAACTGTGCCCAGGATCCACGGCCTCCAGGGCTGCCACAGTAGCAAACCAGGACATGTCACCCCGTCCCGGGCCTCTTTACACAAACAGTTTTGAGCAGAAAAGCTGTCAGGCTCGTCTCTTGTCCGAAAGGCAGAGCACAAGTGTGTAACGGGGTCCCCTCCTGGCTCTACCTGGAGGGATGGAGTTACCCGCTCCCCAGCAGCAGGGCGATGACCCAGCAGAGCTGAGCGGGCTCTGCTGCCTTAGGTCACTGCTGGGTTCCCTGCCCAGCATCTCCTCCGGAGGCGGAGGCGGTGGTTTTTGTCCTGTGGCAGCAGTGGCTCTCGGGGTCTCTCGGTGAGGGGACTCTGTGGGGCAGAGAGCCCAGCTGAGCTTGGGCTCCTCCCCTGCACTGCCTGGGCTGACCCACAGGAGCTTTCCTCTCTGCCCGGTTTGCACTTAGGGGAGTCAGGGAGAGTATGTTTCCCCTCACATCGATGGGGGCCGGTGTGTGCGATGAAGACTATCTTTTCAGTGATCTCAGGCTAGGGATATTTGTTCTTCAGTGTCCACTTCATCCTCCGGGTCTGGGGTCCATGGCCCCAGCCTTGCTGGGAGGGAGGTGAGGAGAAAACCGTATGGGACGTGGGGCTTTGGTCCCACTGTCATGAACACAGTGTGTGAGTCTCACCTTGGGTCCTGTGCTTCCTCGGTGTGGATGTCTGGGTGAATCCATCTCCTCATCCATGACCTGAGGACAGCAGTCCTCTTACAGACGGAGGAGGCCCGTGGAAGGAAAGCACGCAGTATTTTAAGCCAATTCCAGTGTCTCATTCTCCATGACTTGGTGAGCAGAGGAGAAGGCAGCTGTGGACAGGAGTTTGGGATGCAGCGCAAGTGACCGCAGACACAGGTTGAAAGGATGATGCCTGTGAGTCATCAGGGCTCCCCAGAGAGATGGGGCTGGGGTATCCGTTGGGGACCATCAGTGAGAGAGGACCCTGGAGAACACCAATGTTTAAAAATGAGAGGAGGGGCCAGACAGGGTGTGCACGCCTGTCATCCCAGCACTACGGAGCCTGAGGCAGTAGGATCTCTGTGAGTTTGAGGCTGGCCTGAGCTACAAAGTGAGCTCAAGGTCAACATGAATTGCACGGTGAGACCCTGTCTCAAAAAGACCAAAAATAAATAGAAATAAAAACCGAAAAGCTAAACATGAGAGGAAGAAGAAAAGCCCACATAGGTGTGACCAAATCAGTAGGAAAAAGTCAAAAGGAAGCAGAGGGAGTGTGCGAGAGTATGAATCATGTTATAATTAATCCAATTTATCAATGTTTAGTTCAAAGTTAATAATAGTCTCTGACATCAACCTTTTAGCTCACAAGGTTTAAAAATAAATCACTATCAGTAGCTTAGGAAGAAATGTGAGCACAGGATGGCCGGAGCTGGAGGCTGCGGCGTAGATGGAGAATCGTTTCCGCCAGCGTCTGAGCTGGGAACCAACTTTTCCCTCACGGAAAAAGAGCCTTTCCTGTTCCTGTAGCAGGTCCGGTCCGAAAGGGGAAACCGGGCCCAGGGGCAGAAAAAGCAACGAGACACCAGGAAGAAGGCGGCTTGGGTGTTAATTCCATCATTTGCTGCTCTGTAGGAGCAATTTTATGAACACATAATAGATGTAAGAGAGAGGGAATGTGGGCTGGAGGGGGAGTGAAATATTGGTACAGGAAAAGTATATATGGAGAGAGACAGAGACAGACAGACAGAGAGGGAGACAGACAGACAAGTGCCCTCCCAAGCTACACTCCCCAGGCCCCGAAAAGGATATTTCTGGAAACTTACAATAGTTTTGGGTGCTTCACTTTGGGAGGCTGTTTTGCAGCTGTTATTATGAGAAGTTTGGTGTTATTTCAAGTCTTTATCTTTAAATTGTTCAGTTTCAAACACCAAAACTTTGACACTCAGTCCCCAAGTGGCAGGAAGATCTGTCAGGTGAAGAGCAGCCAGCATCACAGGGCTGCGGCTCATTCTCTTAGAAACTGTTTTTCTGAAATTGTACTTTAGTCTCTGTCTCTGTCTCTGTGTCTCTGTATCTCTCTGTCTCTGTCTCTCTCTGTGTCTCTGTATCTCTCTGTCTCTGTCTCTGTCTCTGTCTCTCTGTTTCTCTGTATCTCTCTGTCTCTTTCTCTGTGTGTGTCTCTCTCTCACTCTCTCCCTCCCTGTCTTTCTCTCCGTGTCTCTCTCTGTGCCTTTCAGTCCTGTCAGAGGCCTGGTTCACGTGAGAAGAGAAGAAAGCAGCTGGCACCTCCAGAGGGGACGAGGCGGGGTTCTCAGGCTGCAATACCCCCCCCCCCAGCACTACCTGGCAGGGGCCGGATTTCCCCGGAGACCTGGAGCACACCTGGGTGTCACACAGACCTCGGGGAGAAAGCTGCCGGGAAGACCCAGGGGAGACTTGGGTGAGGAGCCACTCAGGGGTCAGCCCTGGGGGTGACCCATCGGTCTCCTGACTGGCACTGTACTGTGAACTGTGATTTCAGCATGCTGGGCTGGTGGCCATCGTGGCTTGTGGCTGGCCCTGGACACCACTGTCCTCCTGCTGGGTCCTCTCCGGCACGGAAGCTGCTGACATACGGAGAGTGAGCAGGGGAGACCAGGTTTCCATTGGGTGTCATGGGGAATCAGCGTCAGCAGCCTGTGCCCTTCACTCCATGGTGACCTCCTTCCCACAGGGGAATCCAGGGGGCGGCCTCTCTGCTGCCCCAGGGACCCAGGCTGGGCAGGGCTTACAGGCTTTTTAAACAAACGCCCCTCAGGCCCTTTGGCTTTGGAGCTGCCGAAAACACAAGGTAAAAACCCTACTGCAAAGGGCTGAATTTAGCTCAGTGGTGTGAGCGCAGGCACAAGGTCCTGAGTTCGACTCCTGGTACCAAAATCAAAATGAAAAAAAAGTTCACTAAAAATCTATTGGGTGTATCAAAGACTGAGTAAAGCACTTAGGAGCCAGTTCACTTAACTTTATCCAAATCTCTTTAATGAGAAGATGCTTTGCATTATATGATACTAATTGTAGGATCACGGCAAATCATGTGATTTCTGAGTCTGATCTTTTTTGAAATTAAAAATAATCACTTCAGATATTAATTAAGACGGAGGAGCAGTCACGATAAAGGATGAGGAGATGTGTGATTAGAATTTTATCTCCTTGTGCCCGGCAACCAGGACACAGCTAGACGAGGACAGTGTTCTGGGCCTTTCAGATGACTCACGCCATGTGCACATTATGACCAGACTGACAAGGGGCTGACATCTCTTATGCCACCTGTCCTTTAAGGAACCAGTTCATCTCTGCGCAGATTTACCAGCTGAAGGTGACATCACAGTCTTAAACAAATCACAGCTATCAACCCCATGCTAGCAGTTACTAACTCTGTGTAAATGTGGGTGTGTTTTGTCTTTTTGAGACAGGGTCTCTCTGTGCAGTTCAGGTGGCCTTGAACTCATCATGTAGCCCAGGCTGGCCTTGAACTAGAGGCAGTGCTCCTGTCTCAGCCTCCCAAGTACTGAGATTACAGGCATGAGCTACCATGCCTGGCTTCCATGTAAATATTGATCTTGAGTGTATATAATTTTTAAAAGATAAAATCAAATGACTCTGTGTGTGTGTGTGTGTGTGTGTGTGTGTGTGTGTTTGGGTGGGGACAATCCTCATGCCTCAGCCTCTCAGAATTTTGGAATTACAGGCATGCTTACCAAGCCCACTTTGTATTTTTGTTATATTGTATTCTTGATTCCAATGTTTTCATGTATGGACTATGATCATCAGTTTCTAGCAAAAAGAAAACATGTCTGTGAGTGTGAATGTGTGCAAGGATGTGAGCTGAGTGTGTGTGAAAGTGTTGTGTGCATGTGTGTATGCAAGTGTGTGGGTGTGTGTACCTGTGTAAGGTGTGTGCAAGTGTGTGTGTCAGTGTGAGTTGAGCATTTCTGAATGTGTGTGTGCACGTGCGCGTTGTGTGACTTTGAGTGTGCATGTGTGTACACACGTATGTGAGTGTGAATGTGGGTCAGGGTGTGACCCAGGGAAAGTATAAAACGAAGAAGGAACTGGAAGAGCGGCCGCTCTTCCTGGCCTCCCCGCCAGCCTTGGGCCTCAGTGGGTGGACGCTGCCCTGAGCCCTGACCCGCCCCAAGAGAGCTGAAGGGGCACCTGTTACCATGGATACGCAATGCGTTGCCTAGAGGACGGAGGCGGAGCCGCAGCAGGGGCAGGAGCGCGCTGAACAGGCAGGGGCGGCCTGGGGACCCACGCGTGGGATCAGCTTGGAGCGGGCCCGCGGATGCAGAGGCAGCAGGTGCGGACCGGGACGGGGTGGGCGCTGTCCACGGCTCCTGGACCTAGAGCCGCAGCCCTGCAGAGTGGACCTGGCCCCGGGGCTGTGCGGGACTCAGACTTTTCCTGTCACACTTGCCTTCCACCCCAGGGTGGTGCCCTGCGGATTTTATGTCCTTTCACTTTCTCTTTAGAACAAAAAGTGGAGAGAAAACCTGAGCACAAGGCCCGAGGTGACAGCAACCCTGGTAACCTGGCTTTGGGATTCCAGCCCCTCTGTGTGACCTGTGTTCATTTCAGGGCTGTCACAGCAAAATGCCAACGACTGAGGCGACCCAAACTCGTGTTGCTCGGCTCCGGAGGCAGAGCTGGGGCTGGGTGCGGGCAGCCTGGTCTCTCCGAGGCCCAAAGGCTTTGCAAATGCAGGTGGGAGGTCCCTCACGTCCACCCTCTGTGTGGCACCTGTGTCCCAGTGCCCACTTCTTACAGGACATTGGTCATGTAGATCGGAGCCGCACACCCCCATTTTAACTTGAGCTCCTGTCTCCAAACAAATCCCACTCCAAGTGACGGAAGCTTAGGCTTCAGCATGCGTGTGGGGACCCTTTGACCTGGGACCCGGGCCACTGAGAATCGTCCAGGTCTCAAAGAAAATGGGCTCCCTTGGGTCTGCCCTGGAGGGATTCACCAGGGGTCTCCTTACTGAGAGAAAGCCATCCTAGTGGAGGGGCTGGGCTGACTGGGCCCCAGGGGAAATTGACAGAGCCCCATCGGGAGGAAATAGCCAGCCAAACCGGGTGTTCTGGGTCACTGCTCGGTTTGTGGGCTGAGCTCCTCTTGGTTTGCCCCAATTTTTCTTTCAGCAGAACTTGCTGGAAGCCAGCTCAGGGGCGGCTGTGGAACCCATGATGTTTAGTTTGTTTTTGTTCTCAGTCTTGGTGGCGGACACCTTTAAAATGAAATCGGGCCCTTGAAATCAGCTGTTTTAAGCTCGGCATAATTTGAGCTCTGACTTGGCTTCTGACAAGGAGGTTATTGTGTTGTCGCTGCCAGCCCTGCCCAGGAGGAGGCCTATGGGAGGTTTGCAAGGAGAGCGATGGGGGCTCACTGCACCCCCAACTGACAAGTTCTCTACTTCATTGTGTTCCACTATCATCCCAGACTGTCGTTACTGACCTAGGAATTCAAAACTGAGATAAATCCAGTGTCCTTTCAAAAGGATTTTAGATTTGGCAAGAGTCACATTTTATAATAATCTACTCCACTCCCTCTTTGGTCCCCCAGGAAATCACCATGAGAACATCCCGCACTAGTGGGCTGCGGGAAGGCTTGGCCCAGAGATGCCATATTGAGGGACCTGTCCCTGTTTCACTGCGGCTCAGGGGTGGGGGACCCACTGCTGGCTCTGGGTGAGTTCAGTCCAGCGAGGGAGAGGCAAGACCCAGAGCCCATCTCATCAGCACAAAGCCACAGGTGCGGGGTGTGGGGATCTGGGACAGAGTGCACAGGGCTTGCAGGTCCTGGAAGGGAGACCCCCCCCCCTCCCCGGCCGGGTGGGATAGGCCTTGGACGGGAGACAGGAAGGGAACATCTGGGTTAGGAGGAGAGGGAAGGGGGCACACAGTGGGGGGGGGGCAGCTGGAGAAGTGGGGTGAGCTGACCTGGGCTGTCTTTTCCCGAAGGGTGTCATGTGGCACCCGAGGAGTTTGGGGGTCCTTCGGCAGGTGACCAGAAGCAGAGCAAGGCTTGCAGTCTGTAGCTGGATCTGATCGCTGTCCTGTGTAGACAGGCAGCCCTGGCTGCAGTGCGAAGGGTCAGTATTGGAGGGGCAAGGCAGAGGCCCAGGGGCAGGCAAGTCAGGTGCAGGGACCCGGTAGTGGGGGACATGAAGGGCAACAGAGGCCCAGGGAACCAAGGACCCCCTCTGTGGGTCAGTGTCCACCCACAGCTCCTGGAATTAGGTGGGGTGTGTTCTCCCCCGAGATCCCACAAGGCAGGCATCTGTGACCACACAGGGACCCCGTGCCCCCGGTGACATCGCTACCTTGTCTTTAATACTCCTGACTTCTCTCTGCATGCGTGGGAAGTACAATCGTTTCTCCCCCCCAGTTGAAGTTGGAAGGGGCAGGGATGGGCACAGTACACAACGCAAAACTGACTCTTTCACAGTCACCGTGGATTCAAGGGTTACACTTGGGCTTTGCTGGACAATGCGTTTTAGCTTCGGCTCACTGAATTCCATAGAAAATCCAGAATACAGCGAGGGAAGTTGAGAAAGGAAAGAAAACAGGAACAGAGGGGGCCTTGTGTGGAAGGCACCGCATCCCTGGGTTATCAGGGAGGATACTAAATTGCCGAATGGGGTCTTGTGTTTCTTGAAGCCAATGTCATTTATCATAGGAATTATGGACACAAAAAACTGTGTTGGAAGCTGGGATGAGGTTAGACAGTTGGAAACCTGGTTGATGGCAAAGTGTTCTGCAGAAACAGGATTCTTCCAAAATATAGAAGTGTAGCATATAGTAAGATTCTCTTGGTTTCATGTAACTATTACATTTAGTATTCATAAAACTGTCACTAACACCTAAAAATAATTGATTCTTCCCGCTTTTAAAAAACCTGTGGTAGGCACAGTAGTTTGCCAAAATTCATGTCAGAGCTGAAATAATTTACTCATCACAAAAGAATTGTAAAACAAAAAAATTTTTTTTCCAAATTATAGCACTCAGTAATACCAGCTCTTGGGAGGCTGAGGCAGGAGAGTCGTCACAAGTTCAAAGACAGCCTCGGCTACAAAGTGAACTCAAGGCCAGTCTGAACTGCACAACAAGACCTGGACTCAAAAAGACACACACACACATCAAATGACACCTACGCTGATGCCTCTTGTCCATGCCATGATCTTTGTGATGTCATCTTCAGGTCCCGCGGGGTTCTCCTGAAGGAATCTGGAATCTTTTGTGGCTCCACTTTATCATAAATATAAAGTACTGGGACCCATACAGATGTGGGCCTCTGATCATGTGGGTTGCTAGGAAAAGCAAGTCTGTTTGTCATTCTGTAATTCATTCTGCGATCTGTACAGCTGTTATTTACCCTAAACAGTGACGTCAGGGTGAGTCCTCTCCTGCCGAAGTCATCAGTTATGTGTTAACCTTTGAACTGGAAATTTCTTCTTCCTCCCACTGTTGAAGCAGGGGTTACTGGAAGACCATGGCAGGAAGAGTCCTGCAGAAGTTAGACGTCCTGGAAGGGCAGGCAAAGACCCTCCTGCGCCAACGAGCCAAGGTCTGTAAGGCAAAACCTGCAATGTGGTGCTGTCACTAAGATGCTCCCATCTCAGATGCAACCTGCCATTTGCTGTGTACTTAGTGAAGGTGTAATTTATAAAAAGCTGATAAAATTAGAAGACTCATTTATCTAACCGAATAATAAAACACATTAAGTAGAACCTGCCTAAAATAAAGCTAAAACCATCGTGTCAGATAGGAACCGGGGCTGCTTCCAGGGTCCTGCCAGTGTATTAAACGCAGACAGGGCTACTCAGTAGCTGGGAGGGTCGGGATATCTGCCCTACTCACCAAAGTAGGAGTAATTAAGATTTATTGAAGCAACAGAAGTGCATTGAAAAAGGCAAAACTCAGAGTTCAAGGAAAATAGTAACAAAGACCGTAGTTCTCAAAACCTAGATTTTTGGTATATATGGACAATTTAATTTTGGTTCACTGGAAATCTTAAACTATGTACTGTATGATCACCTTTTAAAACGTCTCTTTCTTCTAGTATAAGTGTAAAATTTGCTTTGAAAATAAGTTAAAGAAGCTGGGCATGGTGGCACACACCTGTAATCCCAGCACTCAGGAGGCTGAGGCAGGAGAATCATTGTGAGTTCAAGGCCAGCCTGGGCTACAAAGTGAGCTCAAGGCCAGCCTGAAGTGTGTAGCGAGACGCTGTGTCAAAAACACCACACACACACACACAAAGTTGAAAAACACCTAGGGATATATTAAAGTTACATGTAAAGAAATTAAATACAGAATAAATAGCAGTCTTTGGCCATTTCCCTGTAACCTGTGGAAAACCAATTTTAACAGATGGAGCTCATTCATCCACATATTCCTTTTGTACTCTACAAAGACAAACATGTACACAGACACTATCGTGCATGTAAATTTACATAATTTATAATGTGAATGGGCATCAGTATGGGAAGGTAGATTTTTACTTAGTTCCTTTCCAATTCAAGAGAAAGAAAAAAATCACTTTGGTAATTTTTTTAAAAATTGTTTTACACTTTAAACAAAAACAACCATACACCCACAGGAAGCTGCCAATATCGAGCAAGGGATGCCATGTCCCCCCGCCGGTTCCCCGTGGCAGTGACCCAGGGCGAGGGAGCCCAGGATGGAGCCAGGCTGCTGGTCACTGTCCGCAGATTGCCGGTTTCCTCCGGCTTCACCTGTCCTTAGCTTGTGTGTGCCTGTTCAGCCTGCGGTTCCTGCAGCTCCACCCCACGCCACAGCTCCCCCATGTAGCTCAGGGGCCACACCCGTCTCCATCTCCACCCCAGGCTCCCCAATGCCTTTCCAGCTCTGCGTTCTGCGATGCACAGAGCCATGCAGGGCGCGGAATTTGGAGGTGGCTTCTTCGCGGAGCACACTGGCCCCAGAGGCCCGGGTTTCCGTGTGACCCTCTCTCCCGCACTCAGCGACATCCAGGCCACCGGCTTGGTCTGAGTGTCCTGGGCTCTCCTTCCCTGCACCTCAGCCTGGACGCTGCTGTGTGGCTTCTCTGGGGTCCCCCTGCACTGGCTCCCCGTGCCTGCAGACATGGCTTTGCAGTCTTTGGGTTTTCTGGCTCTTTGCAGCTGATTCTCGCAGAACCGAATCCTTGGGGGGCGGGGAGCAGAGTTCCCAGTTCCTCAACTGTGCTTCCAAATTCTTATCTCTGTCCCTCTGTTCCGTGCCCTGAGAGAGGGTTGCAGAAAACGCTGTTCAGCTCCTTCACACACATTTTAGCCGTTCCTCTTTCTTCACTCGTTTAGTTTAACGAAATCTTCTGATTGATGCTTCTCCTCCTCCTCTATTCTCTATTACCTTTCCTTCACCCCCTCCCTCCTTTCCTAGCCCTCCTCTTTCTCTTCCTTGTTTCCATGCTGGGGACTGAACCCAGGCCCTTGTGCTGACCTACATCCCCGGCCTTCATTTGTTATTTTGAGACAGGATCCCACTAAGTTGCTAAGTGGCCCATGCTGGGTGACCCTTTTGCCTCTGCCTCCTAGAACACTGGAATTGTATGCACGTGCTAACAAACTTAGATTTCTGCCTCTGCTTCTTTGTCTTTTGTTTTGTTTTGGCTTGGTTTTTTGAGCCAGGGTTTCACTATGCAATTCAGGCTAGCCTTGAACTCACTTTGTAGCCCAGACTGGTTTCCAGCTTGAAATGATCTTCATGCTTCAGCCTCCTGAGTCCTGTGATTATAGGCCTGTACCACCATACCTGGCCCTCTGCCTCCATTTCTGACTCACACAACTAGGAAGTCTGCCTGATTCACCAGGTGTGCCTGGGAAGGGAGTGGTTTGGAGAGAGAGATGCCGCTGTGGTTCTAGTAATTCTACGAATGAACATGCTTTGCTAAATACCACATATAGGTCTTGTGTTTAATCCTGAATTCTACGATTAGGAGGGAGCCTGAGATTATCGAGTCCAGCACCTACTTACAGAGATGGGAAAAGAATTCCTCAGGTTACACAGTGAAGGCATAAAAAGTCCACGTACAAACACCTAACTTGTGGGGTCTTTTTTGTTTTGTTTTGTTTTTTGTCTTTTTGAGACACGGTCGTGCTGTGTAGTTCAGGCTGGCCTTGAGCTCACTTTGTAGCCCAGGCTGGTCTGGAACTCGCAACGATCATCCTGCCTCAGCCTCCCGAGTGCTGGGATTACAGGCGTGAGCCACCACGCCCAGCTCAAACACCTAATTTGTGACCTGCAATACTTTCTTGTTATTGCCTGGCACATTAAATGTGTGTGTGTGTGTGTGTGTGTGTGTGTCTGTGCGTGTGTGCATGTGCATGTATGTGCATTTGTGTGTGTGAAGCAAAACTGATCTTTGTCCATACAGGCTTTACCCTATAGGAAAAGTAATTTTTTTCCCACTTTTGCTTTACGGCAGAAAAACAGGCTTCAGAATGTGGAGATAGGAAAGACTTTGGTTACCCCCCTGACGTTTGACTTTCGTTTGGAATTTGAAGAGGCTACTGCTGTGCCCACACATAAGCCGGCATCGCAGACCACAGCAGACAAGTTGTGCGACTCTAAGAAACCAAAAAGGTAACTATCGTAGCCACTGTGGACTTTCGGTTGAAGGTTTAAAGCGTTGCTTTGTATTGTCTTATGTTGAGTTAAATATACCAATATTCTAAATATCCCTAGCTTACAAAATATGTAATGCAACAGTTTACTAGTTGTTGTAGTAAGTAACTAGTTGTTGCAGAGAGCAATTAGAATCAGGACACAGAATTCATAATATTCTTTATGATGGTCACCCAGAGTTAACACAGAAAAGTGCAGGAAACCTGTCCACAACACTAAAGACCCAGAATATTCAGTCAAGGGCCTGAATCCCATAGCAATGTCCTGCATGAGTCCAGATGAAAACCTAGAACCCAGGACAATGCCTCCCACGAGTCCAGCTGGAGGTCTAGAGCCCACAAGAAGGACTCACGCCAGTTTCTTTCACGGATCCGTGCTGGGAAGGCCCAAAGGTCAGCGATGGAAGCCAGAAAATCCATGCCAGCAGGGTGAAGGAGCTGTGCTGGTAGATGGAGAGTTCTACAGTAGTGACTAGAAGTCATGCTCAAATTAAGGACCAGAGCTTCCCTGAAAAGCACCACAGCCATCCTCAGCAACACAGAGGTCCCATACTCCTCTGATGATAAGAACAGTCGAGTACCTGCCAGGAATCCAGTGTGACAAGTTTCTCCTGGAGATTAAACAGCACACATTTCCCCTCCGGAGCAGGAAGTGATGCTCAGTATTAAGAACCAGAGCTCCCCCAAAGTGAACCACAGCCATCCTCACCAACAAGGCCCCGAGCTCCTCTGATGACAGTGCTTGAACTCACACTGGGGAAGCTAGTCACGACGAGCTCCTCCGGGGGAACCAGCAGCTCAAACAGGAACACTTAGAGAAACCCACTCCCCGTGGAACACGTGGAGTGAAAAAAGTAAAATAAAATAAAAAAAAGAAACCCACAACACCTGGGTCTCTTTCTCCACGTCTCTATGTTGGCAACTTTCCTCAGGTGGGTCATCTATGCGCAACACCACGATGATTTGATTCAGCTGGTGTTAAGTTGACCATCAGGTTTTAATCCATAACACTAGTATAGTTAGTAATTGCAATTCTAAATTTTTAAAGAAAGACTTATCTTAAATTCAATTATATTACTCTAAATTAATGTTAGGATTTTTTTTTCTGTATTAGAATTGAACCCAGTTGTGTAGTCTATGACACAGGATGTGTGTAGACCATTATGTAACAATGTAACACACCACGGAAGTTTAAAGTCAATCACGGGTAATGGTGCCATTTCCGGACCACACTGCTGCAGCAGCTTGCCTGTCACATAAGCTCATTTCTGAAACAGTCTACGAAGGCCTCCTTGATTACCTGCTAGCGACAGTGCAGCCACCTAGTTGAGTTGGGTCCCTTTTGGAGTCAGAATTGGCGGGCTCTGAAGTCCGCCTGAGCTGCAAAGACAAAGAAGTGCTTACTTCAGAGATTCAGAGAGCAAGTTTGGTTTGGTCGGTGTCCAAAGAACCAAGGACAAAAAAAGGACACTTCTTAGTCACTTTGCCAATGGAGAGACAAAATCCCTGACACCCACAGCTTACAAGGAGGAGGCTTGTTTAGCTCGAGGTTTTAGTCCGGGGTCCTCTGGTTCCAGGGCTGGAGCAGCAGGGGGTACAGGCAATCAGCTCACCCAATGCCAGCCAGGAAGGCGTGGGGGCCCCAACTGGAGGTGGTCACCAGGGCAAGACCTGGAAGTCATCAATGCCAGAGGGGGACATAAGGCAGGATGACACAAGCCCTGTGGTCACCTCAGTGTCTGCTGAACTCCCTGCGTTGGTCACTACAGGCTGGTCTGACCAATGCCATGAACTGCACAGAAAATTATTTCTCACAGTTCTAGGGCTGGACCACCCAGGATCAGGACCCTATGGACCCAGGGGCTGAGGCAGGCGGTCCTGGTCTCAGGTACCTGTCTTCATGTTGAAGCAGAGTGGGAAAGAGACAGATGAGGGAGAGAGAGGGAGAGAAGAATCAGAAGAAGAAAAGATAGCGGAGGGAAGAGGAGAGGCAAGGAGAGACGATTGTGTGCTGAGGAAGCTTCTCTCCCCTTGGGGGACTTACAAGCAGCTGCGGCTACGCTGGTGGGGTTTCTGGGGGATGTGAGAAGTGTGCTGTGGACACTGCTATAAAAGTGGCCGGGATCTGGCTGTGTCGTGCATGTGTCTAGGTCTGTGGGACGTGGCAGTGAAGGGGACCTGAATGAGGGGATTTTCCAGTGGTGTCCAGGGAGTGGCTTGGTCCTCCTGACACCCATAGATGGGCGATGTGAGAGGAGAGAGTGCAGATGGGGTTACTCAACAGAAAGGGACCAGCATGGAAAGATCTGGGAAACTTCTAGCTGGCTCCCTTGTGAAACAGGAGCAAGGATGTTGGGGACGGAAGGCAGAGATTGGGCGGCCGTGACCCCTGATAAGGAGACAGGTGTGGTCGTGAACCACACAGCTGTGGCCAGCCTTACCAGAGAGAACAAAGAATGGTTTCTGCTGGGAGTAAGGATGCTCCGACTAACCAAACTGCCAGCCGGGACTCAAGGAAATGGAGAAAGTGGGAAAAGGTAAAGGAAACCGTTGGTGTCGATGTCCGCTCCCGGCCGGCAGGAAGGACACACGACAAAGTCTGGTAGTGGACAACCTTTTCTTTTTATTTTCCTTCTCCGTACAGCCTGCCCTGGGATCGCTCCCAGCCGAAGCCTCCTCTGGTCCGCTCCCCGCGGCTTCTTCCGGGCTTCGCTCCGAAGCCTCTACCGGTCCGCTCTCCGCGGCTCCTTCTGGGCTTCTACTTCCGGGCTTCTACCTGGCTTCTTCTTCCGCCCAGGGGTGGCACCGGTATATATACGGGTACAGTGTCCAATCATGTTAAAGTAAGCAAGGCAAGCTGATTGGCTAACATCATCAGTTGCCAGGCAGACTATATTGTTGAGCGGGTTGTTTACGCGGTAAGCAGGAAACTAACATATTCGATGGGAGGGGTAATCTACCTCAGGCTTTGCTCTTTACTACAGGCCTCACGTCCGCCAAGTGAGGCGACCGGGCTCGGGGCTGCGACTCCCAACATCTCCCCCTTTTTTATTTTTTATGAATGTGCGCATCGTAGCCCTTTCTGGACTGGGTGCAGAGGCTTATGCCCTATGCGTAGGCCCACCGTAGGTCCTTGGCTTAGACCCTGGTCGGCCATGCCATGGTCTGCCAAGGCCCTGAGGCCCTCGTCCTTTTTCTAGGGCCAGGCACAAACTGGACGGAACCTGGATGCACACAAGCTTGCACTCATTTCCTCTCCGTAAAGAAATCCCCTCGGAGAGAAATTTAGACCTGGGCAGCATCTAACAGTCCAGCGGCTTACGTGCAGGATGGGGTAGGGCCTGGCTTAGGTCGAGTCGTGCTGGGGAGGCACGCTCTTACCCGTCATTGACTCACCTACCCTGCTGTGTATTGTCACCTTATGGAGGAGAATGAGGGATGCCCGCCATATCTAGACTCGGTCGTGGGCCAATTGAGCAAGCCATGCATATGCCTGAGGATCTTCTTGTCCATTTCGGGCTACCGCTATTTCTATTCATCTTATTGGTTGGTCTGTGATGGATCTCCAGTAGGGCAGGTCTGATCTTCAGTCGAGGGCTTTGTTGCCCGTGTCAGTCTCTCCGGTATCCACAGTGGTTCTCGTCCCGGTTCCTGTGGGAAAACACAAACCGCGCCTCGGTTCCAGCTGACCACTGGATCCGGGCCCATCCATTGTCCTGTCAGGACATCTTTCCACTTCACCCACCCTTTATGGTTGGGGGAAGGGTTGTAGTGCTCCACGGCTGGGGAGCGATTATCATTATTTAAATTTAAAAAATTGTGTGTGAATAGTGCCATGGATAATCGTGCCTTTGGGGCCAGGCCTTGGCCTACTCCCCCTTTTTGTTTTTGTAAAATTTCTTTGAGGCTTTTATGAGCCCTCTCAATGATTTCTTGACCTTGGGGATTGTATGGGATACCATGTTTTAATTGAACCTCCATCATTTTGCAGAACTCATTGAAGGCTTTGTCTATATAGGCTGGTCCATTATCAGTTTTTAATATTTTTGGTTTGCCCCATGCGGCCCAAGCTGCCAGGCAATGATTGATCACATTAGACACTTTTTTACCTGTTTTTGTTGTTGCGAATATGACGTGAGAACAGGTGTCTGTGGAAACATGAACATATTTAAGAGTCCCAAACTCCTGTATATGTGTGATGTCCATCTGCCAAACATCACCAGGGATCAAACCTCGAGGGTTTACTCCCATCGGTATGGCAGGTTTGTATGTGGCACAGGAGTCACATAGTCGCACGATATCTCGTGCATCTGCTCTAGAAACATGGAAATGGTTTGCTAGTGTCCTGGCATTAACATGAAATTTATCATGGAAGGCACGGGCTCGCTCGATTGGTGTTAGTAAGGTAAAAATCCATAACGGGCGAGTGGCAGTGTCAGCAGCCGCATTCCCCTGTGCCATGGGCCCCGGCAGGGATGTATGTGTTCTTATGTGGGTGGTGAAGACCTTATGGTGTCTGTTCTGAAGCAATGTCTGGATAGACAGGAACAGTCCAGCCACTGTGGAAGTGGATCTAATTAAACCGGCAGTCTCAAGCACTTGCATAGCATTGACCACATACCTAGAATCGGAGACAATGTTAATGGCTTCTGAGAACCGTTCAAGAATCATTTTAACGATCTGTAGTTCTACCACCTGAGGCTGATCTGGTTTAAATTGTATGGTAACCGGGGGCTTGCCTAGGATCACATAGGCGCCTATCCCCGTCTTGGAGCCATCTGTGTATATTGTAGTTGTTAGGACTAATGGCTCAGAGGCAGTAACCTTTGGAAAAATTATAGGGTGCTGAGTGACAAATGACAAGATAGGGTCTTTAGGGTATTGATTGTTTATATCCCCATGGAAAACACATCTCAGAATGGCCCAGGTATCTATGCAGGCAGCCAGGGTCTTGATCTG